GTCATAATGCAATGACGCAAAGACAGGAGAAGTCTAAAAAAGGCTGGCATCAGGGAGCTGGAAGCTAAGCTGCAGCCTGCTTGGGCCCAGAGCAGAGAAGGAACCCAGAGTGAGGAAGCCCTCCCAAACCACTTACACACATGACATTTCCTCTCAGGGGCCCATAGAGCAGCAGAGCCCTTGTCCTGCCCTCCCTTCCCCAAGGGTGTGGTCTGGCTGCCCATTTCAGAAACCACCAGCAGTGTTCTCTCCAAGGGGGAGGACACCACCCTCTTGGGCTAGCAGGGATTCCCACTGCAGAATAGGGACTGAGGAATTGTGGCTTAACTCCTTCGTGGAGGGCTTTGCCATCCCTGAGTGGGTTGGAATAGAGGCAGGGGTAGCCCAGTCTCCTCAGGCGCCCTCCTCGGACCGCAGCCTGATTTTTTTAATCTCTGTTTTCAATCCTGGACATATACAAGAATTAAAGCTCTGTAGACTCCACAAGGCCAAAGGCAACTTTTTTTCCATTCTGCCCTAGTCACTCTTCCGCTATGGCAAGAGAATTGCTGGTAACACAAAATAGAAAACCCCACTGTCCAGAAATGGGTGTGGTATTGCCCCTCACCCCAAAGACAAGAAGACTGGCTTGTGGCTCAAGGCAAGTAGGGGTGAGGGTAGGGAGGAGCAGGGTGAATAGGAGACAGAAGCCTAGAAAATTATTAAATTGTTCCATCCCTGCTGAATCACTGGGTACCTCCTAAATCCGTTTTTGATTTAAGAGTGATCATGTGATGCCTAAATGCCCAGGCGCTGCCTCTTAGACAAGGAGCTGTCTCCCTTCACATGCTGGGAGAGGCAGGTGTCCTTCTCTTGGGAGCAGAGCCCTCAGCACACTCAGCTCTCTGCTCAGCAACCTTAGGGATCCAGCCTTTCCCAGGCTCAGTGTGGGATGGTCCAGAGTACCATCAGAGTAGAGGCTCTGCATGGGCCATCTGGGAAGGAAAAGAGATGGACACTGTGCCAGAGAAGTAATGTGAATGGCCATGGGTAGTGTGGTGAGCTAGGGCGCAGGAGGTGGGGAGGGAGGGGCTGACACAAGGCCATACTTTTCTGTCAGGAACCTGAGCACTGGGTACAGAAGCAAAGCTTCAGAGGCCCTGAGAAATCCTACGCCCTGGTTTTGAGCCGACCTTGTCTTCCCCAGTGTTGGAGAGGATGACTTTATCTCAGGAGGAGGATGGCTCCAGATTGACATCTCTGGCCATAAACTCCTCAGAGGACCAGCCTATCTGGGAAGGCAGAAATCCATGGCTTAAAAATCCTGTATTAGAGCCGGGAGAGGGGTATAATCAGGTAACCCACAGGGGAAGCTTTCAGACAGAGCTGGGAGCCCGAGCTGACAGGCCAGGATGGGAAAGGGGCCCACTTTCCTCAGGCCCATGAGGGAATATTCTATGTTCCTGTCCTGCTTCCCTGTCCTTACTTCCAACTCAGGAAAGCTGGAGTTAGCCTGGAAACCTCATCCAAGCTGTTGGTGAGTTTATGGTGATTGGATAGTTATGTGTGTTGCCAAGTCTCCTCCTACCTCACATTCTGTATTGCTGGTGGGCCCTCTGGAGGGAATGAAGCTGTTGCTCTCTCTGACTGGCTTGTGGAGAAAATCTCACTGGCAAGAGGCAGAGTCCACTCCTCATATCCCTGAAGCTTCTAGGTAGTGAAAGATGGACCATACCTAGCGATGTTTCCCATACAACCTAAGTTTCCTATCCTTAGCCTGCCTCCGAGGCTCTATCACATCCTCTGAGATGGAGTCTGAAGTCCTGTGGCACTTTGAGGAAATAAGCCAGCTCAGATCATCCTATGAACAGCGCTGACTGGTATGGGCTTCACTGGGCATGTCAGGAGTGAGGCACATCTGGAAAAGCGCTTGGCAGGACAAACAGTGGCTGCCACTAGGGCCCGAGTGACCTCAAGTTCTGCCCAGAGCTTGGGCGCTAGGACGGAGGACCATCTGCTTTATTTAGTCTGGCCTGAGCCTGAGAGCCTGTTCACAGGAAGGACACAGGAGCTTTGGGTCACCCTGAAGCACAGCCAGAACCAGGCCTTGGACTTAGGTTCCCAGGGATGACTGTACTGTCAGGGCTCTGGCCACTCCCTGTTGCTCTGTGATCTCACCTTAGAGCACTGCTGCCCTCTCTACTGCAGTTATGCATGGATGCTGAAGCTGCTTTCACTAGCACCCCTGCCCACACTGAGGCTTGTAGCCTAAGGCCTTTGCCCTTTGTTCTGGGATAGCGAACTGGGTAGAGTAACCTGTACCTCCAGGACCCTTTCTTGGAGGAAGGGAGCACTTAAACGGTAAGATCAGAAATAAGTGGTGCAGCATTCTAATCCCGGTGTTCCTTCCCTCAGCACATCACTGACGGCTAGGCCACTGTCTACTTTCGGCAGGCAAGGCACTGTCTACTTTCGGCCTGCCTCTCCTGGCCAGACAGCCTGGATTGTGTCACACCAGTGAGAACGAGGTTGAGGTATAGGACCTTTTTGCCTGACATCCAACTAGAAACCTTCCTGGCAAACAGCCAGTTAAAAATTTCAGGGGCCCCTTGCCATTGTCGGAATTAGTGACAGATAAAGTCCATATTGGTATTTTGGGCAATGTCTCCATTCTGATGGCATCTCCTTTGCCTCAGGTCTCAATTGTTATTGTGTCCAAACAGAATTTGTAAGCTTATGTGGCAAAAGGGAAGCTTTAAGAAGACAAGGGGCCTGTGTGGCCCATGGTTGTTCCTACAGTATCCAGAATGATGTTTGATATAATATAAGAATATATTAGTAATTTTTATGGCAATCTTGCCACTGCCCCCAGCATTCATGCACACATGCATTCACACACACACACACACACACACACACACACACACACACACACACACGCCATATACTACATTTACAGACCTGGTCTTCAGGTACTACCATAGCCTCCAGGACATACTTACCTCCACAAGGGCTCACATTCCTCGCTTGGTTCTGCTGTACTGTTCTGCTGCCTGGCTACACCAGCCTCTGGTGCAGGGCCAGCTCTCCGTACTGTTTTCCTAGAATCTTCTGGGCTGGGTCCCTGAGCCAGCCAGCATCAGATTTGAGCCCTGCACAGCCTTGCAGACAGATCTTTGGTTAGAGGTCCCTGGAATTGAAGAGTGAATTCCTCGAGGGGCGGTGTCACTCTCAGGCCCCAGGGGAGCCTCTCAGAATATAAAATATGGCAGAGATTCTAGGAGATGGTCCCTCCTACTAGCTGCCTCTCTAGAGGGTGAATAAGCCTTTTATTACCTTCAGCTTCCGGGGCTCCCTGGGCAGAGAAGGCCAAGCAACCTCTCCATCAACATTATACTTAGAGCCACTCCCTCCTGGCCTTCTAAGTCTTTAGGTGTGAGGTGGTAAATGCTTTCCCAACCAGCCACCTGCTTCCAGTAAACATACCATGGGATGCCTGTAGGTTAAATCAGGTACCAGGGCTGCAGCTGGTCACAGGTAGCCCTTGAGAGATAATATCATTATCTGTAGGATGGACCCTGGATTGAAGGTGCTTGGCCCTACCTTGATAGATGCCAGACTCAAAGACATTCTTTTCTTACATGGGGGTTGGTTTCCCACCTCTAGTGAGTAAGAATCCAATGATCCTGTTATGGACTAAGGTAGGAAGAGAGGGAACCTGACCATTCCAGTCCCTTCCTGGGACATAGTCTCCTTGCTGGGCCTGGTTTGCCTTCTGGCACACTCAAACAGTAGGTAAAATGACAAGTTCTCTGTTTCTTTACTCCAGATTCTGGGGGTGCACAGGTAGCAGGTTGGGTACCTGTGGTCTACAACATGGCCTCCTCTCCTCTTGCTGTTGGAAAGTGGTCTTCCTCACCTGCCTCTCTCCTCATTTCTGTATCTTGATTTGGTCAGTTCCTAGACAAATATTCTACCAGTTAGCTATATTCCTAGCTCTTCCTGCTGTCTCCTGTCTGGCTGGGGAATCTTTTTCACTTCCCACCATCGCTTGGATGATGCTTTCTGCTGCCCTATCTTCTATCTAACATTCCATTTCTCTGTATGTCTCTTAGCCTCAGCCTATGTCTCCCATTCTTTCCTTTTTCAGATCCAGCTGCCAATCCTGCTATCTCCCCAGTGACCTGCTGGCTCCATTGCCTATTAGAGGAAAAAAAAAACAAAAAAAACAAAAACAAACAAACAACAAACACACAACACCTACCTACCACTATCTTCATGCTCTGGCCCTCAAATCATTGGCTCAAATTGTTTTAAGTTTGAGAATTTGGGGGTGGTTTCTAACAGTCTTGCCTGGCTCAGGCCTATCCTTGTTTGCAGAATGGTAGATGGGGGTACACCTGTACCCCCATAACTGAGGCCTGGGTGGTGAGGGGACATCTCCAAAGACACATGTAGATGCTTGCCCGGGCTAGGATGTTGGAGGCCAGACTGACCTGCAGATATCTGGGCCTGAGAACTTCAGATTACAAACTCTGCTCAGAGTGAGATGGGACAGACAGGCGGATTCTGGTGCCACCTCCAGGGAGGGCAACGTCCATCCTGAGAGTCCAGTCAACCCCTATTCCCCACCCCTTCTAGAGTGCCTCGCTCTGCCCTCGGGCACCCTTGAGCTTTGCAGGCTGGGCGGGGACACCTGGATTTCTCTGGCCCCCTGAGAAGGGCCAGCTTGGAAGAATTTCCCAAAGCCTATTAGAGCAACGGCTGCCTCCTGCCTGCCTCCTCAGCCTGGGCAGGGCCGAGAGCTGAGACGGGTGGAGGGAACAAGGGAGGGCAGCAGGGGGAGAGGAGGAAGGAAAAAGTTGGCAGGCAGACAGCAGAGCCCTGTCTGCATCCATTGCAGAGAGGAGGCCCGTGTGGTGTGGGGCGGGACAGGAGCAAGGAGAGGCCTTCCTCCCTTTGTGCTCCCCCCACCCGGCCCTATAAATAGGCCCAGCCCAGGCTGTGGCTCAGTTCTTGGAGGGAGTTGAGCGCCAGGCATCCAGCAGTGAAGTTGAGCCCCCTGCCAGCATGGCCAGTGAATTCAAGAAGAAGATCTTCTGGAGGGCTGTGGTGGCTGAGTTCCTGGCCATGACCCTCTTCGTCTTCATCAGCATCGGCTCTGCCCTAGGCTTCAATTACCCACTGGAGAGGAACCAGACACTGGTCCAGGACAACGTGAAGGTGTCTCTGGCCTTTGGTCTGAGCATCGCCACTCTGGCCCAAAGCGTGGGTCACATCAGCGGTGCTCACCTCAACCCAGCTGTTACACTGGGGCTACTGCTCAGCTGCCAGATCAGCATCCTCCGGGCTGTCATGTACATCATCGCCCAGTGTGTGGGAGCCATCGTCGCCACTGCCATCCTCTCGGGCATCACCTCCTCCCTAGACGAGAACTCACTTGGCCGAAATGACGTGAGTGGGGTGTCTCAGGCTTGGGGGTCTGTAGGAGGGTACAGAGAGGGCACTGCCTCCATTTGCCTACTGTACAGTGGGGACACTGAGGAACAGAGAGAATAGTGAGGGTTTCAGAGGTCATGCCAAAAGTGGGGGGGGGCTAGAACTCAGCTATGCCGCAGGGTCTGTTTGCTGCCAGGTGCTGTGGGCATGGGAGAGCTAGACAATAATGGTTGTGCCAAAGTCCCCTGCAGAGTATCTAATGCCAGAAATGAGGTGAGGGAGCAGCTAGCTGTGTGCCAGCAGTTTTTACCCCTCCACTCGAGTTTCTTGGCACTCTCCTGTCCTACCTGGGCAACCTGGGCCTACTGTCCCAAGTCCACGTTCTCCTACCATGTGTAAAAACACTTCTGCAAGTGTCTGAGAGTGACTCCCTTGTGAAGTCACCTGGGCTTCTAGGTGGCACCTAATCCTCACTTAGGTCCCCAAATAAATGTCGTCAGCAAGTCATGAGACAGCCCCCGTTTATTCCTCTGATTCCCAATAATCAAACAAAGTTGAGGAAACAAAACTTTCTGGAGTTGTTAGAAGAGTTTTCTAGTTAACAGTTCTGGAGAAGGGCTCGGCTCGGTAGTCCTTGGCCACTGAACGAGGTGGTTTGCTTGCTTGTTGTGTGTGAAGGTGGAAGTGAAAATGTGTGCCTATCTACACGGGTCCTGAACTTGTATAAGCTGTTTTCAAGTTGATGCTGCATTTGAGAGTGTGTGACCGCTTGTGCCCATCGTCCCTGGCTTGAATGATAAGCAGACACTGGCAACTGTATGGCAACTGTTCAAAATAACTGCCCCGGGGTTATTCCACACAGCTAAGTGGCCTCGGTGGTGGCTGCCTGGTCACAGACCTTTTCCAGCTTCTTAGCAAAGTGCCCCATGCTGAGTGCACTTGGGTTTAATTGGACTAGTTCAGCGGGAGTGTCTGAGTGAGGGTATAGGATGTCTCAGAGGGGAATAGGCTGGAGTCTCTCACCAGAAGCAGAGACTATAGGCAGAGTAGAGGAACCAGCCCCAGAAAAAAAAACGAAGCAGGCTGGACCCCAGCAGGGCAGGTGCATGGGAGCAGGAGCAAGGGAGCTGGCCAGGCTCCTGTGAGTTGGATGGCTATGGGTGAATAGACTTCTCTCACTTCCCAGCTGAAGTCCTGGAGATGCAGGTTGGGAGGGAGGTGCTAGTGGGGTACAGAGGGCAGCTGCTGTGGCCCTGCAACTGGGATGAGCACTTCTGTGCCACAGTGACACCTCGGGATCACACTCTTAAGTCAACCTCTGCTCAGCAGGAGATTGAAGATTAGCCCTGTGGCTGGAGTTTAGACTTTAGCTGGAGAAAACTTGGCTGTCACAGCAGGCCTAAGGAACAGAGTTAGACAGGCTGTGTCCCTCTAGACTTCAGTCTCTCCAATAGGAGCAGAGCTAGGTGCTTTGGTAAATTCCTGTGAGGAGGTTCAAGTTCCTGCTGAGGTGGGGGCTGGGAAAGATGGAAGCAATGAAGGCTCCCTGTGGGGAGGAGGTTGAGACTCCTAGCTCTTGTCTCTTCCAAGTCAAGTGACAGGCAAGACCTATGCCCTTGCTGGCAAAGGCTTTGCAGTCTTTAATATGCTCGTTTGAGGCTGAGGCACACTGATTGCTTTGGCAGCACCTGAGTCTAGCTACACCGCACTTCAGTCTCCCCAACCCCCACCATTTTCCAGAGTTGTCAGAGCATCATATGTGTCAAGCAGGATACATATAGCTGGAGGAGAAAGTGTGGCCACAGCTTGGGGTGGGAGGCAGGTACCCTAGAGCCAATTTCTGTTGGTCGTTAACCACTGGATCTTCTTGGAGCTGAGCATCCTGAGATTCAAGAGGGGACTTAGGTTCTGGTGACATTTCTGCTACCACCACTCTGTTGGCTAGCTACCTATTCCAGAAGGGCTTGGCTAAGAGGAGCCACAGCAAGGGGACCAGTCATTGTGGTGGGGTTCCTACTACCCCACCCAAACAAATGGTGGACCTTTGGCATGGTGACAGCCTGTCTCCCAGACAAATGGCTCTCTCTCAGGTACTGGCTCCCGGATCTGGAGGGGTTGGGAGAGGTCTCAATGCCTTAGAGGGATCAGTAGTCAATGGGACAGGTGGCAGTCTCTTCCCTCCACATCCCTGTGGAAGACTCTCAGAGCTCCGCTGCTCCTACCCACACCCCGCTGCCAAAACCTGGGTGGGGTGAGTTGTTGGCATGGAGATTTCCAAAGAAATAGAGGGGAAAGTGGCAGGAAGTGGTTGGGTGAGTCAGGGGGTATCCCCCAGGGACATGGTGGGGACAACTTTCTCCTGACTAAGTTGGGACTCAGGAAACGCCCGAGAGAGAGAGAGAGAGAGAGAGAGAGAGAGAGAGAGAGAGAGATCGTGGGCCTCCTATGAGCCCATTGGTCCCTTCTGGGTAAAAGAGCTGGAGCCAAATTTTCACCCTTGGCTACAGGCTCTGAGGCTCCCTGCCTCAGGGACAGCCACCTGCACTCTATGTTGCTTCATACAATTGACTGGGCTTAGATGGCCCTGATTCCCACCTATGGACCTGTGAAGAGGATATGAAAGGGTGTGGCTGGCTTTGGAAAGTAGAGGATGCTGGAGCCTTAGAGTCCTGGCATCCCAGCTGTTTTCATTCTTCTCCTTTCTGGCCCTCATCCTGCAGAAATGACTGAGGCTCTGGGGTGCTGAGGGCAAGGCTGGGTCAGCCAGGCTTCCCACTTTGGGCAGCTCACTGGCCTGAGGCCAGATAAACTGCACAGCTGCCTGTGATAGCAGGCAGGAGGCAGGTGAGATAAGAGGTGTCAGGGCGGGCCAGGGAACTTTTGAAATGGAAGGATGGGAGGGCCAGGAGAGCTCCAGGGAGGTAGGTGATCCTGCAAGAACTGGAATATGGACTAAGAAGGGGCTTCTGGGCAGAGCTGAAGCAAAGGGCAAGGGAGGCTGTGGCCTAGAGGTGGTCATTAAGTTTGGGCGGGCTGCTGTCACCGTAGAAGGCTGAATTTTGAAGGCGGTAGGAACTCTGGACTTGGGCTGGTGTTTGAGTAAGTCTGGAAGGGACTGTATTCCCAGAGCCTCTGAGTCTAGCCACCTGGGGGCTTAGTCAGAGGACACACCTGTTCTCTTGAGGCTCATCTCTCAGCCCTGTTGATTCAGGATTCAAATGCTTGGAAATGCTTTTTCCTGCTATACCACATGGTATATATCTTGACCCTGAATGCTGACTCTTCTCCCGGTTTCTTGGATGTTTGCTTCCTCAGCCATGAGGAGAGAGGGTCTTTCTTACCTGTAGGACTATCAGGATTGAGGCCACTGCTACCTCCACTGGGGCTCAGGAGCAGGCTGTGGAAAAGAAGCGTAAATTTCCAATGCCCTGACCAGCATGGCCAGGGATAGAGCTGGGGGCTGGGTGTAACAACATAGCTGGGACCTGTAATTATTGTTTCCAGGCAGAACCTAGGAGGGAAAGGGCAGGGGGAAGAGCATAGAAAGGTGGAGCTTTGTGGCAGGATAGACATTCCTTCTCACAAAAATTTTGAGGCTGGGTCCGCCACAGCATCTGTTGAGCATTATATAGTGTGGTCTACTTGTACCAAACCAGGGTCCACCTGGGACAAGTATTTAAAAGGCTCCAAGAGGGCATATTCGGGTGGCCTCTGAGGAGGGCTGCTCCCACCTACCCCATCCTGCCCCACCCCATGCTCCTCTGCCCTGGTGCTCCCCTCTCTAGCCAGAGCAGCTTTCAGCAGCTCACCTGGAAGGCCCTACACAGCTCTACTTTCAAGGGCCCCACTCAGGATATTCTCAACGGCAACCGATCAGGCCTCGCAGGCGGGTCACAGTACCCAACCCCAGGGGTGTCTGGGAAGCCATGGTGGCAGAAGAGCCTTAAGTTCTTGCTGGTAGCAGTTCCCTGGGAATTCGGTACTGGGCACTCCTGTCCCTGTGTTTAGAAGCACGTGTGAGTTTTGGGGCTTCCGAATAGTTCAAACTTGAGCCTCACACCTGCAGATACTGGCAGGACATGTCCTTGAGGCCCCATAGGGATCAGGGACTCCTGTGTCAGGGCCTTTTCCTGGAGACTAGAGGGGCTACTTGGCCACAGTAGTATGGTGCCTAGGTAGGATGAGTAGGGGCTTGGGGGACTATCTTTATCTACACAAGCAGCTAATGTCTCAAGAACATTCTTGAGACTGAGACTAAAGACAGTGGGGAGGCACAATCAGCTCCTCCAGGGGCTTGATATCCCAGTAGAGACTCTCCAGAGGGGAGCTTCTGCTCTGAAGGAACTTTTGTTTGTTTGTTTTAAACTCAGGAAGCAGCTTCCTCTAAACAGATGAACCATCTAGAAATATGCAGGATGGACCCACTACAAGGAAGCTGCTCTGGGAGTGGGGGTCTGGCTGTGAGGAGGTGTAGTGTAGGTGGGTAATAGGTTCTGTGACACAGGCTTTGTGCCAAGCTGAGAATGGGAGTTGGAGACTGGAACTTGGGTTTTTGGGTGCTGGCTAGAGGTGCCTACCTGATTCCAGGCAAGGAGGAACCTGAAGACTGCCTGGGGCTGGAGTCTAGGCTAATGCTTCCATTTTGCTTTTGGGAATACTGATCCAACCATGGCATGGATACTTGTCAAGGCTGTACAGTGCGTAATGTCAAGGCAGGACCATGTTTCAAGCCTTCCACAAACATGTACACACCCATGCACATACATGATATGTGGCAAAGAACATGCTCTCAACACTGCTTGGATCTGGCGGCCCAGGACGGGGAGGGTCCTCACGGGAACCTCTTCCTCTCCTTGCTCTGCAGTAAGGAAAAGGAGGAAAGGAAATTGGGAACCATTGCTTTGTGTATTGTTTCTTGTCAGAAAGATAACGTGGCCCTGGGAGCAAATAAAGGGCCTCTGAGACCAGCTGCTTTCTCACTGAAGGGGTCCATCTCTTCTCCACTTCCCTCCCTTCTCCAGCTAGTAGTGGCGCCACCCCTGTGGGCATGAAACACGAGGGACATGGTGACGCATTCAGAAATGCCATCAGACACACCAGTGCAAACATACAGAAACCACCTGGGACCTGGGACCATGCCGCTCGGAGCCCCCTGCTCTGCAGAGCATGCCCAATGTGGTGTCTTGAGTCACAGTGATTCTCGGGCTCTGCTTCGGAGTAATTGGCCAGGACCCTATCAACTTGTCTAAATATCCCCCAGGGACTTAAAAAAGACTGACTAGCCTCTAATCCCAAGGTGAGGGTTTCCCCCTACTTTCCTTTAATCAAGTATTGCCAGTGATATGGCTTAATTCTTGCCTGTCCAGGTTATTAGCCTTTTTTTTTTTTTTTTTGACTGTCTCATTCTATCATTTTCTAAAGGAGGATTATTTAAAACATTCACTTTGGGAATAGCTTGATCTGATTCTTGTGACTGTCTAGTTTTTTGAATAATTTATTATTAGTCTAAACTGCCTATGGTGCTAATATTTTTATAGTTCTTAGATCATTTAATTTTTCTGTAACAAACCTGCTAGCGTCTAACAAAAGAGGAGGAGTGAGAAGCACCGCAGACATATGCCTACTTGTAGACACAGCTGACAGTGGTCCACCACCACATAGCTGTTCACTGAGCACAGAGAAGTGCTGACTGAGAGGTGATGAGGTGGGGCCCGCTGCTCCCTGGCAGGCCAGTACTGGAGACAGTGGGGTGGGCAGACAGCCATGTCTCTTGAGCTGTTCCTTGAGAGCAGGGGCTGAGCCTCAGCCAGGGCTGGCTCTGAACTCTGCTGCTCCCCAAGGGTGGGGTACAGGAGGCCCACCCCCAAAGTCAGGGCCCCATGTCTGGGACTTTTGTGAGCTATCCTGGTGGCCTGCCTACAAATGGCAGAGAGGGTTTAGGTAGCACAGCCTGGAGAGGCTAATCCTGGGCTGGGACACACTGGCGTTCTCAGAGCCGCCTCCTGGCAGCAGTCCATTTCAAGCTGGGAATAGTTCGGTCCTTGGTAGCCAGCATGTCAGCCTATGAGCTTGAGGTGACATAAACCCTCAGGTGAGGGTCCTGGCCTCACTGCCTCCTCCTTGAGCATATGTGTTCCCTCTGTGTGAGTCTCAAAGGACCCTGGCTAGCTTTTCAGCTCCCAGCTAAACAGTAAAAGCCTAGGCCCTTCACTCTAAGGGCTTTTTTGGAGTCAGCCGTGTCAAAGAGACAGGAAGTTCTGGAAACTGGGCAATCGATTGTGTACAGCGATTTTTGTACTGTGTGCACAAAAACAATCACTTTTGTACTACACGTGAGCCTCCCCTCGGAGGTTTGCTCCCAGGCCAGGAGGGACAAACACCCAGCGAGGTGGCAGGTGGCTTCTTCTCCTCTGGGCTGCTCAACTGTTCAGACTCTTCCAGTAGGGTGTGGGAGATGGGGGTCCCACAGAAAGCTCCCCAGAGCTGGGAGTCTGCACGCTGCCTTAAGCCATGAGGTCACCAGCGATCAGGAGCGCTGACTGCTCCACAAGAGCCGCGTGGCTGTTCTGCCACTCACAGCCGCATTCACAAAACGGAGCGTTGCTCTTTCAACGTCAACAGTCCAGGCACAACTAGGCACACGTGTACAGACATGGCTCTTTTCCAGTGGTAAATGACAGCGGCTGGGCTTGGCCCTGTTTAAGCAGTTGTTTGAAATGCAATGGGCTGTGCCCAATCACTACGGTTTGACTTTTCTAACCTGCGCTTTCCTGGATGGCGAGTTTCCACGAACCTTTATCGTTTCTAACCCTCCTACTGTTTTCCCGGATGTAAGGAGCTCAAGCACACTGGCAGGGGGGAGAGCAGTGTTCGTTAGCTGCGGAGCACGTGGGGTGGGTGGGGGTAGCTGGCTGCTGCTGGCGATGGTAGTAGAGGTGGGCATTGGAAGGGGAAGACTGCCGGCCTTTGGGCAGTCAGGAATGGGGTACCTTCCAGAGTTCCCAGGCAGGATGGCTGTCTCTTGCTTCCTGAGGACTCAGACCTCTGAGTCTTGAACCAGGGCCTGTTCTGCTTTGTATAGAAAATGGCACCTTGGGTAGGGCCTGGGACTCAACCAATTAAGAACCAGGGGAAGAGATAGACTAGCTCTGACTATATCCGTGAGGGACTGGATTCAAGTAGGAGGCTTAGGGACAGCTCCATTAATTGGTGAGGAAGTGCTCCTCTCAGGACTCCTGCCAGTTAGCAATTAGGCCAGCCCAGGAGAGTAGAGGAGATGGAGGGAGAGAAGCCATGAATGTCAATGAGGGCCATAGGCAGAAGTGGAGATAGCAACTATGGCCTTCTAGTTGCTCCTCCATCAAGCCTTCCCAGGCTCAGGCAGTCCCTGCCAGTAGATGCAGCTATCCTTTACTGCCACCTGATAGTTCTTGTCTTTGTCACCTGCTTCAAATGCCTGAGACAACCCTGTGATCATTGATTCTTCTGGAGGGAGGCTGGACAGAGCTGAAACCTTAAACCCATTTTACAGATGGAGAAGCTGAGCCTAGGGGAAGCCACGTTCACAGTGCCAATAAGTAGAAGAATAAGAACCTGAGCACTGGGATTCTGCCTCTATTGCCTGACTTTGTCATGGGATGATTGTCCCAGAAAGCTCACTGGGCATAGGGGACACAGCTTTGGGGTTGGCCAGGAAAGGCCCAAAGCTGGGGCTTCAACAGTGGAGGGATGTGAGTCATTCCCTGAGAGCCAGCACTGCAGACAAAGGAGGGAAGAGTATTGTTCTTGTGAGGTGGCCTCAGGGCTGAACTGGGAAACCCCCGTGGAGAAGTGGAGGTGTGCCTCCTGCCTAGGACCTTGAAGGATGCCTGGTTATGTTGGGGACACCACCACTCAGGTGGGAAATTGGAAGGGAGCCTTTAGTTTTCAGCTTGTTGGGTAGAGCTCAGCCGTCCCTCCTGGGAGGGAGACCGAAGGCATGCATTCCAGCGTCTTCACCAACTTGTCCCAGCAACTCTGTGAGGTGCACTTGGCCCCAGCGTCTCCCCTCCCCTCCACTTGGAGCAGCTATCTGGATCCTTGGGAGGGGGTCTTCTCAGTGCAGCTACAGGGGTGGTAGGGCTCCAGTGACTTCATGGCAGTTCCCATTCCCTTCTTTTTCCCATGAGTCATGTTTCCAAAAGTGGCTCAGGGGCAGCCAGACTACAGCGGTGGGGCCCATGTAGCCAAAGAGAGGGAAAGCAGGGCTGGGGCCAGGAGAGAGAAGAGGGGAAAGTAAGGGGAAAGGAAACAGAGATGGAGAAAGTTTGGGACTTGGAAGGATGAGGCAGTATCTCTACCTGGGTACCTCTTGCCAATGCTTCTCTTCTCCTAAGGGGTCCCCGGCCACCCCCCCATGTCTGAGATTCACACTCACCTGTAACATTTGGCATGTCATGTAGCCAACAAGGAGGTCCTGCTTCAACCTGGGCCTCTGAACAGAATGAAGCAGGGCCTAGACAGGACTGGGGAATCCAGCTAGAGTATCAAGTGTGAGAGGAGGCAAGGCCTGATTTGCATTACCTGTTGTTTCTGCCTGGCCCCCTCTGGGTTCACACAGCGAGAAGCTCAGTAATAAGCTATGAAGTAGTTGAAGGTGGTCTCTTCCTGCCTGGGCCTGGTGCTCTGGAAATATTGTTGCAATTGCCACCTGCCTGACTCACCTTCTGGATTCTCTTTCCTTTCAGCTGGCTCGAGGTGTGAACTCTGGCCAGGGTCTGGGCATTGAGATCATCGGCACTCTGCAGCTGGTGCTGTGCGTCCTGGCCACCACGGACCGGAGGCGCCGTGACTTAGGTGGCTCGGCCCCTCTTGCCATTGGCCTATCTGTGGCCCTGGGACACCTGCTGGCGGTAAGGAGAGGAATTCCCAGGTTGGGGCCATGGGGAGGTCAGAATCAAGGCAAGAGCTGATGAGTGGTGCTAGTGTGGGCGTCCGTGGTGCTCTGGGTGAAACTTCCACCATGGGGTCGGAGATGGCAGAACCACTCTGGGTGTCAGGAAAAGGTCCCAAGGACCTTTCTCTGCTGGGGTTGACTTTCCCCTTGTCTACTGTTTCTCTCTCCCCACCTTCCCTGTCACTTCCCTTATCTTCTTGTTCCTTATGTGCTCACCTTCCAGATTGACTACACTGGCTGTGGTATCAACCCTGCCCGGTCTTTTGGCTCTGCCGTGCTCACCCGCAACTTCTCAAACCACTGGGTAAGTCACCTTGAGCAGCCAGGCACATTGTGGAAGCAAGTTCCACCCTACCCTTAAGGCATGCTCTCCTCTCATAGAGATCCTGGGAGACAGATAGGGCAGAGGAAATCAAGAAACCAAAGTCTGAGATGAAGGGAGGGGGCTCACTTCCTGAAAAGATTTGTGTTTGGTCTCCACCTTGGCAGCTCGAACCTACTGCCCCGCCCGCTGCCCTGCTCCGTCACCATAACAACGTGGTGGGCAGCAGGGTTCACATCTTAGCCCTGCCGCCTTGGGATTTAGCAACCTCAGGCAGGCTTTGTGCCTTGGTTTCCCAGACTGTGGCTGACGTGGGCTTAGGCTCATTGCCTCTCCCAGGGTAGATAGCATCAGGAGAGGAGCCATGTCTGCAAGCAGAGCTCTGAGAGAGGAGAAATCGCGTTCGCTTTAGCTCCGGTTACTGTTGGTCTGTGTGCTGCTAGCAACCCTCTATTAGATTAGCCCATCTCTGGGAACTTTCCAAGCCTGGGCAAAGGGAGTAGTAGCCATCCTCAGGAATGGGCTGCTACAGAGATGCCTGAGCTGTGTACAGAGGCCAGGACATGTCCCCACTACACACCCTGGTCTGGGACCACTCTGCGGGGCAGTGGAATCAGAAAGTATGGGACTGTTTGTCTGCTTCTGACTCAAGGCAGATGGAATGGGGAGATCCCTGGGGGAAGGGGAGGTGTGGCCAGCTATTCTCTAAATTCTCATGCTTCTTCCCTAGATTTTCTGGGTGGGACCATTCATTGGGGGTGCCCTGGCAGTGCTGATCTACGACTTCATCCTGGCCCCACGCAGCAGCGACTTCACAGACCGCATTAAGGTGTGGACCAGCGGCCAGGTGGAAGAATACGACCTGGATGGTGATGACATCAACTCCAGGGTCGAGATGAAGCCCAAATAGAGGCGACCTGGCCCGGGTATCCATGTGGGGGCGGGGCAGGGAGGGGCGGAGGGAGGGGAGGGCTGAAATCGTATTGTAGATGCTCTGACAAGCTGACCAAAGTCACTCCTCAAGACCTGCCTGATCCGCATGGTCCAGCCTCATCTGGGGCAGCAATATTACTGTCTTTCTTTCTGTTTCCTGGTCTCAGAGCTTCCTGGGGCCCAAGATTTGTCAACTCCACACCTCACTCCCTTGACATCATGGATGAGCGAAAGGAAGGGGCCCACCTGGTGGTTGACCCCTCAGAGTGTGCTAGGAAGTCCCCCCTCATCCCAAAGTTGCCCAGCACGTCACCCACCTTAGGTGCCCGGGATTCTGCCATTGTTGCTTTGTGCCTTTGATCATGGCTCTCCTTGAGTACGCACCTTGTCCCCAAAGGCACTTTGAGGGAGAGGAAGTCCTCTGGCTTTCCCCTTTGGTCTGATTTACCTCCAGGACCCTTCCACTTAAACTCACTATAAGACCTTGGAATTGTCCCTGTGCTGGGGCCTCAGTGATCCTATCTGTAAGGTGGCAAGGAAGGGACAGCTGTGGGGACTCTGTCAGCATGGACACACCACAGGGTCTAGAAGGGACAGTCTAGACAGCACTGCTTTGTCTACCTGGCCTGAGCTCTTTCCTGACATCCAGAGCCCACGAGCACACGTGGGTGAGCTATGAAGCAGAGGCCATTCCAGGATGCCAGAAGTGCCTGTTGATGCAGAGAGCCTTCTTTTGGGCAGAATGTAGGCAGAATGCAGCAGAGTGAAGGCCATTTCATGGTGGAGGAGGAGCTCACACTCTCCTACCTAGTTCTAGTTGGTCTGCCTATGTATCATGGCCCCGACTAGATGGGTGTTTCAGCTCTTTAGTCTCCCTGGCAGTGATGATGTGGCATTTATTAAGGAGCACTGGGCTGTCTGCAGCAGCATGTTTGAGGAGAGAAGCAGCTAGATGTGGAGCAGTCCCTGGACAGATGCCCGTGCTGGTTGCGCAGGGGCTGGGGTGCCCCTTGTTCATCGTTATCAAGGAGGCTACTCCTGTCCTGGCTTGTGAGCTCCTGGCTCGATGAATTTGATCAGAAGCTCAGACAGCCTGCAGCCTGCAACCGGAAAAGGCTCACCACGTGATGCTAGGCACAGTCTTCTCTCTGTATTGACCTGATGCTGCAGCTTCTGAGGCCACTCAGGGAGTCAGCTCAGGGCTTGGTGTCATGCATTCAGCTCTCTAGGTTATTCCATTCAATCCCATCAGGCCAGAGTAGCTCAACCATCGTGCCCTTAACCATGTTGTGAACATAAACTGAGAGGCACAATCTTCAGGTGCTTAGAAGCAGCAGGACAGTCAGGAGGGTTGTGCCCCATCCCCCAGCAGGCACAATAGCTCTCTTAACAGATAAGGACACTGAGGACCCATATGCTCAGCTATATCATATCAGGTCAATCTTAGTAGCCAAGGCCATGTCTGGTCACTCCCTGGTCAACGCAATGGACTCCTCTTCCCTCCACCATCTCACTTTCTGCCTGGGCAATGGCTAAGGGCTGGAGGTAGAGGTGGTGAGAGATGTGCTTCAGGGGAGCAGGGCAGGTCCATCCCACCTGGTTCTGGCCATGGTGATCAAGCACCCCGCATCTGTCTGCTCTGTGTATGTTTCTTTGCAATTGAAATTTCATCTTATGGTAAAAAAAATAAAGGACAATGACTTGTAAGGTACTCCAGGCTTCCTGTGTTTTTTGCCTTATTGGTGTTGGAGTCCCACAAAGGGGCTCCCGTCTTTGAAGGGATTGGTCTCACTAGGCCACCTAGTCTGGGAAGAAGGCAGATACCCTTGTACCCTAAGGAAATGTTGGCCCCAGTGGATGGGCACAATAACACCACAGACCCTAGGGGCCACAAGGTCTTACCCTTAAAAGGGAGACTTCTGCAAGTATGGAAATCTTGGGACAACTATGGGGAAGTGAAGAAAAAGTTCCAGCCAGTTTAAATGGGGTTATAGGAGGCATTTTGGGCTCTGGAGGATGGAAGAGCTAGGGAAAGCAGGGTTGAAGTCATAATCCTGTTAATCACAGGGCCCTCTGAGAAGCCACAGCTATGCTAGGCCTCTATACTCCCTCTGCTCACCCCAGAATCCCAACCTATACTTGTGTCTTGGAACCTCTAGGGTTTGACTCATCAGAGAAAATGAGTCCAGTGCTATGCTATACAGAGATTTGAACCCAAGTTCCTGACAGTGACCCCATGTCTGACACATGAAACACTTTAGGGCAGCTGTGAACTTGGCCACTGGGAGCAGACCATGGGAAAGCCTGTTCCTTCCACAGAGGCTTGCTCTGGGAGGCGCAGACCCTCAACCTCATGGAATGCTCTCCACATAACAAGTGTCAGCAGGAGTGTAGGCTGAGGAAGGAAGGGTACATGGGAAAGGCTCAGCACTCTGTCATGTTTCCTGACAACACAGTGATGACATAAGAGGTGACCTTGGAGAGGGCTTAGTATTGTTGGGACGGTGTTTCTTACTGAATGCATTGTCCATGAACCCTGGAGCTGCCTCAGCCCAACCAAACATCCCTGGTTTCTTCTTCCTGGTGAGGTATGTGCTGCTAGAATGAGAGAGTGACTGCCAGGAACATTGTAGAGGCTAGCCCAAAGCTTCACAGCCTCATCCAGGAAGGTGATCTCTCACGGTCCCTCCTAGCCTGCCTCCTCTTCCTTCCATCCCCTAGGTCTCAAGTCCCTTCAGTCTCCAAACACTGTGAGATCCAGGTACCTAATTCCTTCTTGTCCAATCCTGTCTCTTCTCCATTCCACAACATAGCCTTTCATGTATGACTTCTGTAAGGTATACTTTCTAGAGTCCTAGAGCATAGAGGCAGCTGCTGGGAAAGAGACCAAATTCAGGTTGTGGAGTGCCTACGAGTTATTAGGAGCCTTGCTGTGACTACAATATGAGAAGTTAGAACAATCTGCATTTACACTGGTTGCTTGGGCTCCTGAAGGTGAAATCATTTGCTCAAGGCTACACAACAGGATGGGGTGGGATTGAAATTTGAACCTATACTACCTGGCTTCAACAATTGTTTTTCTTCATTTTGTGATGCTGACCTGTTCTGGTGTGATGCTTTGTAGAGTTAGCTCTGGGCCAGCAGAGGAGCCAGGCTGAGCAGCAGTTGCATCCATTTCTATAGGGTAAGAGGGAAGCAGTAGAGAAAAAACAAAATCTGTCCTGGCACTCCTGACACTGTGAGAAGCCTGCTCCTTCTAGACAGACACATGTGGTGCTGGCTTAAGGTGCCACCAGGCTGAGACTGCTTTCATGAATCTGTACCTACTTCTCATTGGGAGGGAATATGATCAGCTTGGTCATAGAATATATGAGCAAGGGAAGGCCAATGCTGCACCATGAGGCGTGATAATGCACCAAGCCAAGCCTTAGATACCCAGTATGTGTGGGTGCAATAGCTTTGTGGCCAGACTGTCTCAGACACTTCCTCTAGCCCATGGCATCAGTGCTCCAGGCATCCATCTTCCCCCCACCGACCCCCTCCCCCAGCCTTCCAGGTTTCTCAGATTTTGTTCTGCTCTTACTCTACTTGGCCTAGATCAGATGAGTGGGTTTGGGAAATAACTGGGATGGGATGGGACTTCTTGAGATAGCGAAGGCCCTTCTTGTCTGTTTTGTTCATCAGATTTTAACACAGGCAGCAAATTTCCTGAAAGCCTCCAGGACTCAACCTTTGTCCCCAGGCTCCTAAACTGTCAGGTGACTAGCACATGAGGTGCCTTGGTAGGGGAGGTACTGTCACCTGCCTCCAATTGTGACCTCACTGAGACGAGACTACAGGTCACCCACCCCTATCAAAACTATCCACAGCCTTAACCTGACGATGATTCAGCCAGCACGGAAAGTCGTGCCTTCTGCACCTGGTCTACAAGGAAGCAGGATGTGTTCTAGCAGCCACTGAATCCTAGAATATTTGTCTTTCCATTAAACTCACAAGAGCAAAATGCTGCAACACTACAGATTGTCACAGCCCATTGGAGGCCCCTGATCAGGCCTGGTACAGATTCGGAGACTTTCCAAACCTCTTTTCCGGGAGTAACAGCTTGAGCCCTGTGGTCAGTGTCCTGTCAGTGTGAGGGCGGATTAGCGTTGGGTAAAGTCTTTGTTTCTAAACACCTAGAAGTATGGACTCCTTCCAGACCCTTATCCCCCAGACTCCACTGTGTGTGTGTGTGTGTGTGTGTGTGTGTGTGTGTGAATTGCCAAGAGAATAAAGTCTTTTATTTTATTCACTTTACATTCTGCTCACAGCCCCCTCCCTCCTTTCCTCTCAATTTACCCTCCCCCCTCTTTTCTTCCTCCCCACTTCTCCTCAAAAAAGGGGAGCTCCTCTACCATCCCGCCCTGGCACATTATGTCTCATCAGGACTAAGCATTTCCTCTTCCACTGAGGCCAGACAGGGTAGCCCAGCTAGGGGGAAGTGATCCAAAAGTAGGCAATGGAATCCATGTCAGAGATAGCCCGTGCTCCAATTAGCTAGAGATAATTGATAATTGGAAGACCAAGATTTCCATCAACTACATGTGCGTACAGAGCCTAGGTTCAGTCCATGCAAGCTCTTTGGTTGGTGGTTCAGTCTCTGTGAGCCCCCATGGTCCTAGGTTAGTTGACTCTGTAGGTCTTCTTGTGGAATTCTTGTCCTCTTCTGGTCTCTCTATCCTCCTAGCTCTTCCATAATGTATGTGTGTGTGCGCACATGCGTATGTGTGTGTTCATGTATGTGGGTGTAGGCAGGTCATAATGTTCTTGTGGAGCTCAGAGGACAACCTTCAGGTATCAGTACTTGCCTTTCTACCTTGTTTGAGGTGAGGTCTCTTTGTGCCAGGCTACCCAGCCTCAACACTTCTGGAGATTTTTCTGTCTCTGCTTCCATCTTCCTGTGGGGACAAGATTGGAATTACAGGTATGACTGCATTCATTTTTTTTTTTTAATTTTTGATTTTGTTGTTGTTGTTTTGTGTGTGGA